GTCACCAGCAGAGGTAACAAGTGACAGCAGTTGAACAAGAAATTGTTCTTTCTAATACTGTTCTGAAAAAGAAGGCAAGGAAAAGGAAGTAAAGGCTGGAATGGACACATGCTAATAGTAGCTTAGGAATGTACTAGTACTCAGGAATTATTAAAGGGGAGTGTAATGACTCCCCTTTACTTGATACATGAAAAAAGCTAGTTCCTGATTTCTGGAAAGTTAAATGTTGTATTTAAGCATGCAGTGACATCAGTGATCATTTTGCACAAAAACATATTTTCATGTAGCTATACACATATTACTTTTAATATTTCAAGATGTGCTAGATAGGGTTAAGTTGCCTTTGCCTATGTCAGCAAAAATTAAGACCTCATATGAAGTAGCAGAGCAACTTTTTAGACAGCCTTAAAAAGCAAGGTTTTCTGTATACCACACCACCAGAGACTGGTTCCTGCATCCCACATATCACCCGCGTTTTTTTCCCCAGGCAGCAAAAATTAAATAAAGCACAGAATGGAAGAGATATTGGGACCAGGTATAAGCAGACATTATGCAGGCTCTTAAAGTTCATACAAGGCATAGTGGAATGAATATGAAACTGAAGGATCCCTTAGAAGTTTGAGGGAACAGTTTGTTCAGATAAGGTGCACTTGAACCAAGATGTCAAACACAGCAGCCCAGATGAACTCAGTCCTGTCAGCATAAACTGCAACAGTTTCTTAGTACAAGCAAATCCAAAAAGCAAAATGAATTGCCTGTGCCTGTATATACCAATATCTCACGTTTTTCATTCTATATGTATTCTTGCTGGCAATATCAAAAATAGAATTAAAATTACTTTTTGTTTTAATTCTTGGAAGAAAGTTAAGATGTAGTCAAAGACAGGGAAGCTTCTATTAGTACCAGCTGTACTATGCTCCCTTTGTGAATATACACCTTTGAACAGAAATACTTAAAGTATTCGTTAAAAACAGATCTCAAACTGTAATCTTTATCCTTTTTTACATGACATGTTTGACAAAGGATCATAACTAGACATTGCAGATGCTAAGGAAATGAATGCAAGAAAAAAAAAGTAGAAAACTTATTGTGAATAGACATTCCTAGGTGTTACTGCAAGTGAAATACGGTGGTTTAGTAGGGTTCTAAATATTACACTGGCAATACCTTTTTAACAGACAAGAACAAAAATGAGAAATGATACAAGTCAAATCTGAAAGTGCAACATTAGTCAAACGCACAGTGCAAACTATTCCTGTGCAAAGACTATTCTGAAATGTTCAGATCACACTATAACATTCAAATTGATTTTTAAGTTGTCATATTTTTTTCATAATTCACAGTGGTACAGCAACCCTGTAGATAAAGCAGACATAGAAAGATGTATACTAAAAGAAAGACCAAGAGCAAATGTAACTGAAGCTTGGTACTTACCTCCTTCTCCTGAGCCAGAGCCATTATCTGAAATGGAAGCAGAAGGGAAGAAAATAAAAAGACAGAAAATGAAAATATTGCTCCAAGAACAGCTGTTTGTTCAGGAACTCATCACTGTAAAACATTATACAGGTGTTATATTTCATGAGCCAGCTGTAAAAGCAAACATCTTGCTATCATTTGGCATCCTTCAGTACAGTTTGTCCATGCTTATTAAGTCCTATTCTCCCTCTTCTGTCAGGGTATTTTTACTCATGGAACAGCAGCATTCATTGCTGCAGATAAAATTGCTGTATCTTTTAAATTGTTACAAATTCAAACTTATTAAGCCTAAACAGAGTAAGAGCACAGAGTCTAATTTTTGTAATCTACTTATGAGCAAAAGTAGTTTTTTTCAACCCTCTGGCCCTGGGAATGGTACTTGAAGGAGTCACACATAAATCACCTGACAGCAGTACTTCCTGAAGCAATTGGTGCTCAAAATAAAATTGGCTTAAGTCAACTAACTATAAACTAGCTCCTCTCAAGTGAGCTAATCACTTCATAAAAGGATGCTCTAAATCCACAGTTATTTCATTGGCATCACAGACTGATTGGATTAGTATCTGATGAGTGATAGCTTGAAGCTGTACTCCCTTTGCATTAGCAGTTCAAACATCAGCAGGACTTTGGCTGCATCAGCACCCCAGACCAACTAGCTCAACTTTAGAGCAATAGGAAACTGACTAGAGGTTTAGGCAGTGTTGTGCTCAGGGTCTTCAGTTAGCACTACAATAAAGCCAAGTCTTTAAAAACACTCTCTGAATCACAAATCTTCCTCTATCTTTCTTGCTCGCAGGAAGTGAAGAGGAGAGAACAGGATAGCAACTACTGACAGTAAATTGCTGCTTCTTCCAGTTAGCTCAGCTCCTCTGGAAGATGAGGAGAGCAGCACAGCACCTACTCTGCTCATCTCAGACCTCTCCTTTCACGTCAGCTTTTGTGACAGAAAAGGTAGGTGAATTTATTTCCGTAAGCCTGGAAAGAAGAAGGAGACCAGACAGAGAGAGAAGTGGCATTCTTACTCTGATGTATGAACTCATTTTTCACATTAGAGGAAAAAACCAAACTGTCAGTCTGTTCAATTCCTCTACGCTTTTTCAAACAGCTATATTTCTAAGAATAATTCCTTCTAGTGCATGAATGAAAGGGTGAAATTCCATGTTACTAGGTCACTTCACACATTAGAAATAATATCTTGTCACATGGAGTGTCAGGACTGAGATTTTTCTTTTCATCTGCCTAAATTTTCCTTTCTTTCATTCCATACCACAATTCTGTACCTAATAGAATAAGCCTATTGCCTTACAGAAATGAATGCAAAAACAGAAGGAAGAGGTGTATTCCATGGATAGTGATCCAGTTTACTGACAAAATAGGCAATCCCATATAATATTTCATTGTTGAATCACTGAAAAATATGCTGTATGGTGCAACATGGCTTCATTAATAAATTTGAAGGTGTATAATTTATATGAGGTAAGTGTATAGGCTTCTTCATGATGGTTGAAATTGTGTGATAAGCTTTTGGTTGCTTTGGTGGCTTTTTTTTGGATTTGGGATCTTTTTTTAACCTACAAATATGAGCAAGTTTAACATGCAGTTCATATAAACCAAAGGCTAAAATATCTCAGAGAATTGAGTCACTCCATGCTTTTATTTCAAAATCTGCCTTTCCATGTGCTTTTGCTGGCACATTCAGCCTCAAGGCAAGAAACACCATTCAGTTCTAGTGCATGGCAGTCGCTGTGCTGTGGGGCTCCAGTTATGCCATTAGGCATATATGTTGTGAGGCAGAGGACTATATAGACAGTAGAAGCTGTAATGAGAGAGCTAAGTAAAAGACGAAGGTGATGCCCAGACCACCTGTCCCTATAAATCATTGGGTTGATAGAGGTGAAGTCCACAGGCAGCTCTATCTCCACTCAACAGAACATTCTAATAATGGGATAGATACATGCCTGCCCTTTTTATGGTTTCTTGAGATCTGAAAGCCAAGAGTGGCATCCAGTATAACACTTTCTACCAGTTCTGCCTTTTCACTCAGATCTTTTGCTTCCTTTCTGAGTTTGGGAGCTGAGCTAAAACTCTTGCCCGCAAGGTAATCATGCTAAAGTAAGCCAGTGTTCCTGTTTTTTCTGAGATTTTCCTAAGCAACTGCTAGTTGGAAAGTAGCATTTTTTTGCAAGCTTGCTTGTACAAGCAGCCCTGCTCTTTTCGGTCCTGTAACCAATTCAGGATTTCCAAAGGTGTTCTCCACGCAACAGGTATACCAATGAGACCCAGCAAAGAGAACAGTCAGACAGGGAAGGAACCTGGAAAGAAAGAGGATCCCCCAGTCACAAGTCAGAATTAGAGAGTGACTAACTTCTCTATTTACTTAAGCCACCATTTTCAAATAGGTTCATAAAAAATGTGTTTATATACAAACGTACAGTCTCTCTGAGTTTAGGAGCTATGCTAGAACTCTTTTCTCCAGGGTAATGAAGCTAAAATCAGGCTGCAGTCAGAATCTCTCTTTTTTTGCTCTCTCAGGACTTCAGCCATTTCTGTACTGTTCTTTGATGTAGAGAGTACCCTCCCCAATCCCAACCAAGCCTGCAACCTCTCTTCATTTGGATAGGTCTGCTCTCCCAGGATGGATGGCTTTTAACTTGCTCAAACTAACATGAAAATTGAACCTGCCTCTCCTCTACTGGGGGTGAATGCTACAAACCGCTTAATATGAACAGGATGACAGACACACCGCTGATGAAATTTAAGAAAGCAAACTCTTCTACTTTAATTCAAATGGGGTACGTGATCCAGTGGGCATCTCCAGAACAAACCTATCAGATCCTGCACACGGGAAGACAGGCAAAGTAATGCCTAAATGCTACATCATTTTTAGATCTAACTAAGAAATAGGTCAGAAGCTATTCAGCCAGGAGCAGAAAGAAACATCTGACACATCAGAAGTAAAACTGTAGGCCGCTCTCAAGAGACAAAGTAAAAAGCCAATGTATTTGTGGAATTTAGTTATTGCAAGGATTAGCTGACAGCTGAGAAGGGATTTCCAGCACCTGAACTTTGGCACCCAAGAGTTATTATATTCTTTATGCCCAAGTCCTGGATTTTCCCTTAAAGCTTTTGGGATATAGCTGCAATTCTTTTAATACAGTGTGTGCTACTCCTTGTGTGAAGCAGAAACTGGCCTTCCCAAATCAACATTCCAGAAACTTCACTGAACAAGCCCTAGATAATGATGATTGTTTTATTTAATTGTCTTCAATTACTCTTCTCAGCAAATAGAAACAGAAGAGAGAAAGGGCAGCTGCTATCTTAAGTCACAGTTTCCTGTTACTTGAATATATTCCATCTGGATTTTCAGGTTAATGTAGATCTAATTAAGTAGCCCTTTCCATAGTGGGACAGGGCAAGCTTTTTACCATTTAATATTGAATACAGAAGAGTGCCTTTAGCTAAAGTAAAATCGTTGTTAACTTGCTATTAAAGAAGAACATACTTATCTACAGTTGATGCTAGATAAGGCAATGAGGGTGCTGTTGTAAGAACTGGGCAGGAGCTTTTAAATTTCACTCTTCCCACAGCATTGTGCAATTCTTTGTTGTCTCCTGCAGCAGCAGTAAAGATTGATGAAATCTCAAAGCAGTGGCGCAAAGGCTAGAGTTTCAGAAGAGATCCAAAATTGGCACAGACCATTTCAAGCCTCCAACCAGAGCAAAGACCAAAGCAAAACAATGCAAACTCCAATTTCCAGCTGCCTGCAGGCAGGGGAAGCATCATTCACACTGCTGCTAGTGCACAAAATAAGTTTGTTAAGAAGTATACCAGCTCAGCTGCTGCAGCATCATAGCCACAACACCTTCTTCCTCTTCCCACTGGGATTATACCCCCACCCTCCAGGAGCACAGTTGCCTGCTAGCAATTACCCTCGGTTTTGATATGCCAGCAGGAGCTTTGGGAGGACTGCTGACAAGGCTAATTGCTAGCAGCTGCAAGGCCTCTGGCTGCTGGAGATAGGCTTTTAACTTCCACTGAGCCAGGCTTTCCAGTAGGAATGCTCATTTTTCTCTATATCTCTGGGGAAAAAAGCTTTTGTTATCACTTGATCCTGCTAGCCATTTCCTGCTTAATTGTATCCTACAAAAGAAGCACTAGATATTTAATTCTGGTATGTGTTGATGAGGTAAGCAAGGTAAGCCTTGCTCTTTACTTCCAAAACGTTTCCTTTCCAATGACAAGAGGGAGATGCTGTGTTGTTGCAAGCCCTCATGGCAGGCTGGACAGGAAAACACAGCTGTTTTAGTAAGAGGGTTCTTTTTATTTATTTTAAGTATATCTCCTGTACCACAACAAATCTAGATGTAAGTTTCTCAGTCAACTATCAAAATAAATGTATGTTTTTATATCAGGTTTTTCAGGTTTGTTATGGCTTTGTTGGGAGAGTATTAAGAGTTATTTTCACACTTATAAATACAGAAGGGAGCTGCATAGAACTTCCTCTACTCCGACAAAACAATTAAATTTAGGAGTGTTTTTTCTTTTCAGGACAATATGTGTATCTAATTATGCTTTGTTGTGAGTGTCCCACAAAAACAAACACTCACAGTAAAAACCTGTGTGTTGCAATTCAGGGTAAGTCACAGTTTGATTACTTCCAACTGAAGAGCATTAAATTAAAGCCAGTCTTAAGAGAATCATTCTTTTCTGCACTGTGATGTATCACAAAGGGATAAAACAGAAAATGGATGGGTGGGGAGAGGGAAACATAATAGAGCTATTATTTGTTTCTAACTGTGCAAATAACTTTTTAACTTTACTTTTTCTGTAGGGATTTCTAATGAACTATATGCAAACCTTCCAAATATATACAGCACACAGAATGCCTAAGTACAGTATTTTAAAATGTCAAATACTATATCATTGTGTGGTTTCATTTTCATGTGCATATAATATAAATCTGGCAGCAGTCAAAACCCTGGCACTGTGTGTGGACTAACAGGAATGTGCATTCTTAGGAATGAATCATAAAAGTATATTTCTTATTTACTACACTGATTTCTTCTAAACCCATAAAACACAATGAATTCATCAGCAGAAAGAGGCAGAAAAAAATCTTTGACCTTCCTTCTCAACACTCTGAGCACACCGATCACCCTCTCTCCCTGATTTCTTACAGCCTTTTAGCAAGCCAGTTCAGGATAACCTCAGGTAGAGAATCCTCAGGTAGCATAACATGAATAAATTTCAGTTTAATGTCACCCTCTCTTAACTGACCAAGGCTTCAGGTCAGCATCTAGGCTGCTGATCCTACGAGTCCAGCAACAGTCCTCATTTAGGTACTGCCATCTCCCCAAGTTTTACCGCATATTCCCATCTTTGCGTTTGTAGGGCTGCACTGCAAATAGGAAATTGATAAGACTGGGAAATATAAGTCTATAAAAAGTTAAAACAATAATGGCTGAAATAGTTCACTAATCTGGTACACAACACAATCCCACGATCAGCTGCCCAACCCTAACTGTCGGGGAGATGAGCCACAGAGCAAGGAGGAAGAGTGGTGCAATATGGGATATACTACCTATCAAGGCAAGGACTTTACTATCATGCCCTGTTTACATCTCTACTCGGCCATGGACTGGATGACTCATTCCTTATGAGTACAAAAGGCCAAGTTAGTTGTAGGAAAGAATTTTATATAGCTTACTATCAATCACTTAAATGTATACCTCGGTACTGGGCAAAGAATACCTCGGTACTGGGCAAAGAGAACATTGAAGCTGCATTTCACTAATTTTCCTAGTTTTTCTGTGCTCTGCAATATGGGGCTACATGTATTGGCTGAAACCCACAGGCCTTACTCACCCACAGCTTCTATCAATGGTTATAAACACCTCTGTAAACCCACATATTTGAAAAAACAATGCCTCGTCATATAAAAATTCGCTTTGAACATGTTGAAACCTCCATAGACAAAATCCAAAGCTTCAGTTATACATTCTCTTACATTTCTCTAAAACATTATTTTTAATGAAAAAACTTGCAATTTATTAATTCCTTAAGCACCTGTGATTTACTTTCTTTAATGTTACTTATTTTGAGATCCCTTATTTCTGACAGCATGTGGACAAAGGAATGAAATATATAAGTATGCTATTAAATAACCTGTCATGACCTTAAAAATGTAATCAAAATGTTATCTGACAAGAAATAGGTAATAGGAAGCTGAGTAAACTATTCCATATAGTCTGTTCTATTACCATAGCTTCAGAAGGGAACAATCCCTAGCAAATGGGAAGTATTTTACTCTTATATGAGATTTAGAATTCTTATATACTTTAAAAATTATTTAATCCTTGCATCACTACAGGAGGAATTTCATCCTCTTGTCTCTTCTATATCTCACCAGCATAGAACTGACCTTTGTTTTGAAAAACTGAAATTAGGATAAGAAATTAGTGAATTTCTACTTAGTTCTCAAAGGCATCTCAGAACAAAGCATCTTCATAGCAAATTCTGAGGTACTAGCTGAAAAGTAATGTGATTGCATAAAGGATTTTTTAAATCTAGGTTTTTGGTTCTCACTATGTATGTTCTACAGATCAAGAGTACAAATATATTTACTTCACTATTATCTATTATCATAGGCATAGAATGGATAGGTTCTGGAGAATGGCTTTTATGATCTAATACTCTAAAATTAATCATAGGATGTTAGATACTTAGGAAATAACAGTTACAGCTCTGATAGAACTCCACTGAAATACTGTAAATTGTACAAGTGTAAATCCAATATGAACCCCGAATCACATCCTCAGCTTCAGAAATGTACTTTCAGTACTTTCTAGTTAACTGTATCTCAGTACATGTCTTGATCTATTACACTGACTGATAAAAATTATGCTTCATTTCATGGTTTTGATGTAAGACTTAAAGAAAAGGAGAGGAACGTTAAAAAAATAGTTGCTGAGTGACAGCGATTAGCACAGATTCAAAGCTAAGAAGAATCAGTTTTTCATTGCAGAATATCTTTGTCTTAATAGGATAAACCACATATAAAAAATAATTTTTTTTGTTTTCCAAAACATTCTCCTACTGTTTTATTTTAGTGAGAGAAAAAAAAACTTTTGCATTGAGTCCTTTTTTTTTTAATTGTGCATGAAAAATATTTACATAGCCTCAGTTCAATCTACTTCTGGGGTGTTGTTGTTGGAATATGTGAGTTCTTCAAAATTATAATGGATTTTGTCCTATTTCTGTGGTTTTTGGAGTTAATTTACAGTTGGGAGACTGAAGAAGAAGGTATATTCAGTCAACTGTCTGACATATGCTGGAATTGTACAGCTGAGGTGGGCACAGAACACGTTTTCCTAGTTCTGGTACTGAAGTCTAGTCTTTAGTCTAGTACTGATGTCTGTAAACAAAATAATATCTCAGGATAGGTCTGTGACGCAGTCAAAGGTGTTAGAGCAGCTTGTGTAAACGCAGTTAAGCTGAATTTAAACTAGCTATTTCTGGGACTGACACCAGAGCAGCAGCATGGAACTTTGCCTAGGTAAACTGTCAGATATTTACCCTGATTTCCAGATGGGATATTGCAGTTACCACTGGGTTTCAGGCGGCTGGACCTAAACTGTCATCTATAACTAAACTATCAAATGTAATGCTAGTTAGGAATGTCTACTTTGTCTGTAGTCACACTTTGAGTACCATAGAGATGTATCTTACTTGATCTAATCATAGCAAAGTGTAACTTTTGTGTATCAAAAGATACGGGATGTCCCACAAAGTATTTTTTTTGTGCCTCTTTTTTGCATGCATCAAAGAATGCAGCTACTGATGTTACTTTCTGAGTCATTTAATTCCGAGAAAACCAGCCTCTGTGTGGTCTCACCAGTATTGAAATCTGTCCATAGGTTCAGAAGACCTCTGGTGGCTAAGGTTTCTTGCGTCCAAGACCATGTTACAATATTCAAGACATGGGACAGTGAAAATCTGAATGCATTTTAAGTGTATGAAAAGATAGAAAAAACTGTTCTACTAGAAATGTGAGATACAATGATTCTGTAAGAGTTATGCACACCTTGGATGTGATGACTCAAAGTGAAATTAGTCAAAGATGATACCTTGGTTAAGGTAGAGTGGCAATCAGGATGATGGATGTCACTTACTGGGTGTCACATTAATTCTGTACATCCAAAAAATGAGTCCTAAATAAATGACTAATCTCGAATCTGCTCAATTTTGTTGTAAGCTTTGTGAATTAATATCAAAGCTCGCGTATAGCATTCACCAGCATCGTCTCAGATAAAGTATTTCTCCTTTAAGTGTTTTTATTTATTTACCTAGTAGCGTATCAGAAGACATATCAGATTTCTTCTGTATGACTATATTTCATCATTAAAGAGGACTTGTGGTTTCCACATAATTTTGTTGTATGAAAAGCACAAAAATGAATATCTCTAGAACTAAAAATAAAACTAAAAAACAACCCTATAACTTCCTTCATTAGTGACATAGAATGATGTTTTACATACCAGAATAACAAGGTCCTCTTGATACCACTGTTATCTCTTTCTGATGCTTACAAGCAGCTCTCCTAAGGAAGCACTCATTTTGGTAAGTGTCTCCATTTGATCCACAAACAGGAATATAATTTGTGTGACACTGAAAAAGAAATTATGAAGCAACTTAGTCCTACAAAGTCACGTGAGTAATCTCAGTTGCATGTTAATATACAGGATGATAGTTGTATATACATGATGCTGATAATACATTATTATTCTATTTACTAAAGGAAAATAAAAAAAAAGTTTCTCAGTATCACTGTAGGTATTCTTTTCAGACCACAGAAATAATAGTTCAACTCTATGTAGGCTGAACATATTAATTTAGTAAGAAAGATTAAAACAACTGAATAATTACAGTGTGTCTCAAAAATGACTGGAGGGAATATGACAAGCCATCTACAAGGATCTGAAGGATAAACACATTGAGGAAAGAGAAAACTTCTTCAAGATAATAGAAGAATGTCGGACTAGGTACTGAGGGATGAAACTGAGTAGAGGAGAAGTTAAGGTGAACATTGTTTAAAGGGGGATTTGCTGATCACAGAATCACAGAATCGTTTAGGTTGGATGGGACCTCTGGAGATCGTCTAGTCCAACCTCCCTGTTCAAGCAGGGTCACCTAGAGCATATTGCCCAGGATCACATCCAGGCGGGTTTTGAATATCTCCAGCGAAGGAGACTCCACTACCTCGCTGGGCAACCTGTGCCAATGCTCTGTCACCCTCACAGTGAAGAAGTTTTTCCTCTTGTTCAGATGGAACTTCCTGTGGTTCAGTTTCTGCCCATTGCCTCTTGTCCTGTTGCTGGGCACCACGGAGAAGAGGCTGG